GTGGGGGGGGGGGGGGAGTCCTGAACTCACATCAGTATTTCCCGCTTTATATTAGAATTTTGAAGAGCTGAATCATAGTACTAAACTGTACTAATTGGCCATTTGCCCTCCAAAACACCATAATATTTTTCAGGGGCCCGTACATGGGCTCCGAACCCCACACCAAGGGAGCTGTGGATGGTTTCACATCCAAGGTCTGTCATTTCAAAAAAAACTTGATCCCTCCTTCAAATTATCCTGGATCCCCCCCCCCCTCTCCCCCCAACCATGAAAAGTGAAGGGCTTGTATTAAATTTCAGTATGCAATTTGCCATCTTTTATGAAATTACTTGAAGCCATTTACATGTATTCTGACGTGGTAAATTTTAAAAAATATTTGATTACTACTAGTCAAGTTTAGGTACAGGTAAAGCCTAAACACTATCCAGTTTTTTTTTCTTCTGGATTTCTGCACGCATGCAAGCACACACACAGAGAGTCCTTTCGTGTACTAGTATACGTTTATTATAATACTAGTTACATTTACTATACAGACAAGATTACACTGTTTTTGCAATATGTTGGCCTGTACACTATGACCGCTTTAATTGAACACGGGGATGTTTATGTACAGCAATTAATTAAATACAGATCTACATATAGTATTAATAGTTAATATAATGGTACACTTTGACGCGTTTTAATCTTTTGGCTACAAAACAACCAATATGATTTCAATGTTTTTCAATTAAATATTGATAAACATGTATGCCTAATGTAATGATGAAAACATTAATACATGTACATGTAGCAGTTGGCAGGGATAAGAGACCAGCATTGTCCCAGCATACTTACATTTACTGACAAAAGACATCAATACACATTTCTAGACATTAGTTTATCTGAATGACATTTCAAAGAAAAGAAAGGCACATGTATTCAAATGAGTGGTGAACATACCTGCAAGCAAATGTGATCAGTATCAAGTTCAAACAAATCTACATTCACCAACTTACTGACAAATGACATCAATGTACATTTCTAGGAAAGCTAATTTCAATTGATATAATCTCCAGAGAAAAAAAATTGGGCTTAACTTTGCAACAGGCAGTGGGAAATGACCTCTTTCCCTTCATTTTGTGACCTGAGAAAATCTGAGAAATGACAGATCTGCATGCTCTAGGACTGTTTTTATGTCAAAACAATGTATTCCCCCCAAGACCCAGAAACTGACAAAACATTTGACTGACTATCAGTTATAACTGAAGTTGTATTATTTATGATGTGCTTACATACTGTATTAAAATTTTAATTTAATTCACTTGAAAAAAGTACCGACATTCCGTTTTTTTTTTTTTTTTTTTTTTTTCAGTACTTGATGTCAGTAATTTCTTGGGCTAAAATAGTGATGCCATCAAAGTGAAATTTTACCCAGACAATGATATTGCTTAAGTGATTGTTCTGAGATTATTAATTTAAAACATAATTTATGAAATTATGCAAAATGAAAGACTAGTCAAATTTCCTTTTTTTTATAAAGCTAAATGTGGGCAAACATTTGTATGTATTTTACTTGTATCTCGTTTAAACTTTAAAAGTATCTAATTGCTCAAAAATGTTCAAAAGAAGCAACCAAATGAAATATTACTGCTCCATATGCAAAATGTACAAATTTGGGAGCCTTTATTTGGTGCTCAATAAACAACATTCACCTGATTTATCAAATTAAAAATTTACATATTAAGTTACATTGAAAACAAAGAGCCAATGTGCTTAACTTTATACATCACATATCTTACAAAATAATCTGACATATTTTCACGTCAGTTTCATACACAGAAGAAAATTTGCCCCATCAATTGTTGTTGTGAAGTTAAAGGTCCAACTATTCAACAGCCTGATGATACAAACGGAGACATTTGCTAACTAGTTATAATCCCTTTCACTACATGTGTTATTTGTACTTAAAAATATTCCAGACAGTTCCAAACTATCAACAGATATCTTCTTTATCGTAGATCAGGCTCTCCGCTGATTGTCTTTTTGACTCGTAATAGCATAGTTGTTAGCCACTGATCAAGACGAGATATGCTATCATAATCTTTGACAGCATCTGTGAAAGCATCCACATTCTGTTCTTCAATCGCTGCCATCAGAGTCTAGAAGAAAATATATAATGGTTGCATTAGAACTTTCTATAAAGAAGCGTAGTAACTGCACAGAAACCAAAACTACAGGCTGATTTTCCTTTCTCTTTAAATTGTCAATACAATCTACAATTTTGTTGCAAATTATATATAAACAGTGCTTCCAAATTGCAAAACAAACAAAACTGCTCAATAAAAAGCAACTTGGGATGTGCTCATCATACTATGCAGAAAATCAAGTTATATTCCACTTAAAACATATCCTTAAAAAAAAAAACATTCAAATTTTGTTGTGGTTGATTGCATGACAATTATAGTACATGTAAACAAAGTAGAGTTATTTCAGGAACAGACCACTGTAGAAACCAGCTACAAAGTAGCAACCCAAAGGAAGATTAAATAACAAAGAAATGAGCTATGCCTTGCAAGAAACAGAGAAGATGGAACCAACAGAGTACATAATTAGATATAAACAAGGCAGCAAAGCTGTCAAATGTACAGACAAAAAGCAGGAAATAACTATGCACAAAATAGGCTACTGTCAATTCTGATGCAAAAGTACATTATGTTAAACTGCAAATTCAACATCAAATTTTAATTATGCTCAACAGGTAATACCAATGTCAGTAAAACGTGTAACAAGCATAAGGCTTCAGGCCCATGGGAGTTCAAGTTCACACTTTGAAAATGTATAACTTCCAGAAAAAGAAGCCAATAAGACTACTTTTCCAACTCAGGCTGCATTTTAGTCCTGCATTT